GAGAGAGACCTATAGCAAGAAATGTTGGGAATTGTCACATAAAATATTTGACCAATATCAGGCTGCATACTCCTGATCCACCTGCATTAAAGTCTTTTTTAAGAGACGCTAGTCTTCCTCAACTTTGTGTTCTCCAGAGCAGAGGTCACCAACCTTTCTCAGTTGGTGGACTGGAGGGAAAGGGAGACGGCAGCATTTTATGCATGTGTGTGCACGCAAATGGGGCCGCAAGCACGCATGCAATGCAAAAGGGGTGGCGCTAGCGCCCATGTGATACTTGCTAGCTCTGCTCCATTCTTGCAGGGTATGGCACCCCGTTTTCATGCCCCAAGGCCCGGTGTTCTGTTTTGGCACCCTGTTTTCACGCCCCAAGGCATGGTGTTCCATTTTCACACCCTGCGGGGTGGCATCATCTCATTTTGCGCCCCACGGCACAGTGTCCTGTTTTCATGCCCCAAGGTGTGGCAGCGTCCCATTTTCTTGCCCTGCAGCACAATGTCCCATTTTTGCGCCCCACAGCCATGGTGCTAGACTGAGTGGGGTATGTGTGCGCATATATGCGCACACTGGCCAGCCTGTCCCATGGTCCGGTAGCCAATAGACCACGGCCCGGTAGTGGGCTCTGGCCCACAGGTTGTGGATCCCTGCTCCACAGCATTCCAGCTTTCATTATTTTGGTCAGTATGGCCAACAGTTGTTTTAGAAGCTGGGGGAGAAATGTTATATCAGTAGGCATTGGTAATAAGAAATTAGAAATCTATATACGCCTTTTCAGATTTTTTTTTATTTATCAATAAAGGAGAATATTTGTAGTTCAGGATTGAAGTGAGGGGTCCTTGGCGCTCTCTGAGCTTGGTTGTTTTTTGCAGACATTTCATTACCCAAACTAGGTATATCATCACTGCTAGTTGGCTAGTTTGGCAGTTCCTTAATTAGGGTATTGTTTAGATCAGTGGTTCTCAACCTTTTTAATGCCTCAACCCCAACCGGTCGTAGGTCGAGGACTACCCAACCGGTCGTAAGTCGAGGACTTTCCCTGCCTGGGAGTGCTGCACATGTGTGGTGCCACCCCCTGTGCCGGCCGAGGCGTAGCTGGCAAGCGGCAGAGACGGAGCAGGCCTACCACCGGCTGGGCCACCAGCTGGCCAGCCCAAGGGAGGTAAGGCACCCGCTGGGCCCCACACGCGCCAGCAACCTTCCCTGTGCCTGCCAGCCTCCCATCTCCCACCCCTGGCCCTCTTTTACTTACATTTTTAGTAGTTGCTCAGCAGGGAGGGGTGGAAACTTCCAGACAGCTCGCCTTCACTGCAGACAACTTGCAGCACCGTTTGCAGAATGGGACTTTTGGCGGGCTCAGAGTCTATTCTCTTGGCTTTCAAAAGCCAATAGAATAAAAGGGAGTAGCACAGCTAAGGAAAAGGGGAAAAAATGGCGGACTGCGTTGTTTGGCGACCCCCATAAAATGGTCGTTCGACCCCAAATGGGGTCCCTTCCCACAGGTTGAGAACCACTGGTTTAGATGATTTCGATCTGATGTTAATCTGTGCTCATTTGGGTGCTGATTGCTGGTAGAGATGTGTTTTGATCTTTTTGCTCCCTTTTTGGCTTGTGACTGTCTCTTTTGCATATTATATAGATATTGTTTAGCCATCAATAGACACATAGACATAAATGATAAAAAAAATGCACGTGTAAGTTAACTATGTCATCAAGAGATGTTCCCTGGCAAGATCTTTACTGCTCACTTACCCTGCCTCGTTCACATTTTATACGAGATCCAAATAGCATGGTCTTCTGGATGTGATCTATGTAGTCCCTAAGAGTCAACAGCAAACTGATGACACATACTGTAATCCGTTGAAATATTCTCCCTCCTGAATGTCCACAGATCTTGTTATTTTCAAGAAAGTAAGCAGGAACTTCCTCCCTCTTTGATAAGCTTCCACCCATTACTCCTTGTCCTGCCCTCTAGTGGCCTAGAGACCAAGTCAATCCCCTCTTCTTTGTGACAGCCCCTCAGGTACTGGAAGACAATTTTCATGCTTCCCCTGATCTTTCTCTTTGATAGGCTGGACATACTTAGGTCCATCAACTGTTCATCATACAATTTAGCCTTCAGATCTTTATCTGTTGCTCTTCTTGGCACATTTTCCAGTGTCTCAACAACTTTTTTGCATCAGAGTGACCAGTACTGGATGCAGTACTCCAAGTGTGGTCTCAGCTGTGCAGTGTAAAGTGGTACTATCACTCTTCGTTATCTTGACACTATCTTTCTATTGATGCATCCTACGACTGCATTGGTTTTTTGGGCAGCTGCAGCATACTGCTGGCTCATACTTAAGTGATGGTTCAGTGTCTCCGATATTATAGCTGCCAGTCCTTCAAAATCCTGGGATGTAAATTATCTGGTCCAAGTGATTTGTATTCATCCAGGTGAATAGGTATTTTCTTACTAATTCCTTGCCTATTTTGACTTGTATACCTGTTCTATGTCTGTTGGTGTTGTTTTTGATAGGTTGGGCTGTTTCTTCTTTCTGCATAAAAGGCAGAGGTTTCTAGTTTTTATCTATTTCATTTTCCCTCTGCCTTGCTACAAACTATCACTTTGCTGCAGAAATGCCACCAATTACATCAAACAGATTTCTAGGCAACAGAGCACGTTGAAGGGGAACATAAAGAAGATCTTCTTCCCCTTTTGCTGGTTTGGGAAGTGAACAGTCCAATTTATGGTGTTCTTGTTGACATCATCCTAGATCCAGCCCAATATTTTCACTGAATGCCAACATGTACAAGTTATTTAGTGATATGGCATATTCCAGTTATAAACTATTATCAATGTAGCTAGAATGTGTTTAATTATTGAAGCAACTAAGAGATATGATATTGATATATAATATTATATCATCAGCCATCTTATTCTTCTGAGTAACTTAGGAAATGATTGAGAAACTTAATGTTATGGCAGGAAGAGTCTGTTGTACTGCCTGGCCATTGACTTCTGGGGTCTTATTTTGCCTCCTTTCTTTTTTCATCTGCATAAACTACATTGGAAGAGGCCATGCAGAGGTTTTTGTTGAAGAGTCATGAATATGTCTATGCAAAAAGTGTCATTTATCGGTCTTTATCTGTTAACCTACTCTCAGGGATGAAATGAAAAAATTAGATCAGGCATGTATATATAATTATGGGATGAGTAAAAGTCAACAAGCTGAGGCTTAAGCCAGATAAACAGAATTACTGTGAATAAATGTTGAAATCCATTGCTCTGAATTGAAATATGAGATTTCTGTCAGATAGGGTGACTTTCTATGAACAGTACTATTCATAAGTACAAATCATGTTGGTCATCAGGAATACATTTTAAAGCCCTTGGTTGGCCAACTAACCTAGGAAAAAAAAGAGATTGCCACAATTATTAACTCTAATCTGCTGGTACTCATACTAATTTACTGTATTACATTCTTCATATTCCTCTTCCTTTGAGATCCTGGAAGGCTTCTGTTTTTCACTTCTTTGCTCTTTTCTCATAAGGAATATCATCTCAGCTAGAAAATTTCAGATATATACTGAATTGTATATCGAATGCTATATTCATATTAATACACATGCCCTTTGTTTCAGACGTCCTCCTTGCTTCAGAAATTCTACTGCCATTTCAGTTTCAATATGGTAAACCTCCTGTGCATTATTTTTGGATGTCAATTCATGCTTTACTCTTGGGATCAATTTTCACTAATGCTGTTCAGCATATCCATAGTATGTCTTGTTTTTTCATTGAACCTTGCATATTTACACAAAGCATTAAGATGCACAATACGTATAGTTTATGAATGGAATTTAAAGTTTCTGCACTGCATACCCTATTTTGGAAAACAAATAAGGCCTCATTCAAAACAAGGACAATTGATTATCAGGAATTATAGCAATCCATCATTTCAAATGTAGTGCTTCACTGTAGCTTTTTTGAAATGAAATCTAGGAGTGATTCACTTTCATCATGAGAAATCAAGAACCAACAAAGATCTGAATGATAAGTGTAATATTACAAATACTAACTAATGCTGGCTATTACAACCAAAACAGCCTATCTGAAAAATAAAATAGCCTTCAGCTTGGTACTTTCCAATCTTATCATCCCTTTTTTGAACAGTCACTGTCTAGGTTACCCAATAAGTCTGAATGGTATCAAACTATAAAAAAATGATTCTAAAATGACAATGAAAATGGCAAAGCACAATCCCTTCACACAATTTGGTACCCTCTAGAGAGGTTGGACAACAGCCAACAGAGAAATGAAATCGGATCAGTCACTTTTTGTTGCTGCTGTTGCTTGTTAGTTAATACCTGATTCATTTTCCAAAGAACAAAAATGAAACATTAAATGTACACTAATCTTTAAAATGTACTAATTTCTTAACAGTATTTAATTGGATTCACTCTACTATGCCTACTTAGTGGGCTAATACATAAGGATGGAATTTTAATGCTTCTCTTAACTTTGGCATCACATCTTCAGGTAGCCAATACTGCATTTGATCTCACCAAAAGAATGAGCCTAAAAAAAAAAAAAAAATACAAGCCGCTTCTGGAAATCAAACATTTAAACTGGAAAGATCCATGCCTCCCTGTCATTTCAGAAAGAGGAGTAAGTAGCTTTGAGGCACTCTGCATGTTCTCAGAGGCACTCCTATTGCCGGCTCTTTTTAAAGTTCATCCCTGAGCCCAGCAACCTGGGCTAATTGGAGAGAACTTCCTCTTAGCCACGAGAGACACGGGTCTTGAGAAAGACCGTCCCGTCCCTTATTTCTTCTCCTCGCTTGCCGAGTTCGTAGCATCAGCTGCTGCCTCTTCAGCTATTTCCAAGCAGTCCTTTCACCCTGCAATACCACGGACAGTTCCTGCCGGCCGATCGCGGTCGGGAGCAGCGGCGCAGCCAGCCTCCCCTACCTCGTCCGGGAACGGAGAAAGTTTGGTGGGAGCGGAACGCGGCGCGCTCTTACCTTGGGCGCAGAGGATGGAGCCGCTCCTCGCCCGCAGCGAAGAAGAAGAACCGAGATCAACCAGGGGCGGCGGCGGAGGTTGGAGGTTCAGCCGGGGTCGAGCCGAACAGGCGTCTGGCCGAGGCGAGCGCGTGTCCAGCTTAGCAACACATTCAGAGCAGCTCCTCCGCGCCCGTGAAAGGAGACGGCCGTCAGGGCGGAGCTACCGCAGGCCGCCCCCGCTCTCGCCCTCAGCGGGAGAAATAAACAGGGCCTTTCTGGGGCCAGCTTGTCCTTTTCTCACAGGGATTGTGGCCCCGCCACATAATGAACCCCAGGCTAGCCTATTTCATCTGAGCCTGTTGGTGCGAGCCCAGTCCCTGTGCTTCCTTTCTGATTTAATGTGTTATGCGGAGTCCCAAAAGCAGGCTGAGTAATCCCCCTTCTCGGGTGTAATCCTGGCATCTCTGGGCTGCCTTTTGTCTGTCTGTCCGTCCATCTCTCCATCTATTTATTTATGATCTATTTTTTTTTAAAAAAAAGAATGTGTTATTTGATTGATTTGTGTGCTGCCCATCTCCTCTAGAGGTGTCTGTGGAACGAGTAATCTCTAGTAATCTCTCTTCTCCTTTCAATGTAGGTAGCTCCAGTATGCAGGAAACAAACAGGTTCATTGTCAAAGAGCAATTAAGTTAATATAAATACATCACACACACACAATTCCCCAACAATTTTCCTTCCCCCTGTTTAGCACCACCTGACTGAATTTAAGGCCCAGGTCCTCGGGTTTGCTGGACTACCAAATTTGAGGGAGTATGGAATTCAGAGGGAGGGGAGAGTTTCAGGCTGGATTCCAGCAACAACAATTTGGAGTGCACTCCACTCAACCAAGCAATAGCAGGGAGATTTTCATCTCCACCAATACCCATATAAGCCACAATCCACACTCAATAGGTTCTTCCACAGATCAGCAAAAAAAAAAAAAAAAAAGTTTTACTGAAAACACAGCCCTCAGTTTTTCCCCTAGTGATAAGCTCTCACACATCTGATAACCATGGCAATAGGTGTACCCTGGATGGGCCCATATTCTGATTATTTTTTTTTACACATGTCTCACAAGAACACAATTACTGAATAAGGTTCCACCAGTTTTCCACATCCCCAATTATTTCAGGTGGGTTTAATGTTTTTTCTTAAGCTAGCCCCACAGCTTTTACATAGTGAAAGAAACTCAGATGTTCTGAGCAGATGCAAAGAGAATAGATCTTCTCACCAGCTCCCTGTGATGTAAAACTTAAGATAAAGGCTTCTAGAAACCAGAGGATGTGACTTTTCAAGTAAGGGGAATGTACAGTGCATGCAAATGAATATACACATACTTATAAAATATACATAAATATAATACCCCCCTCATGTTCACATATGATACTTTTTTCTTTTGAAAATATACTTAAAGAAATCTACTAACCTGTTGATCTGAGGTCACTCAGAGATGTTAAAATACAGTATTTCCAACATTTCCCATCCAAATTAGGTGGCAGAGGAAGAATGCTTGGCCCTAAAGTAGTATAAGTAGTCCTCAACTTACAACCATTTGTTTGGTGACTGTTCAAAGTTACAATGGTACTGAAAAAAGTGGCTTATGACTGTTTTGCACACTTACAACCTTTGCATCCTTCCCAGGGTTACACGATCAAAATTCAAGTGCTTGGCAACTGTTATGCATTCATGACAGTTGCCCTGTTCCTGGGCTGTGTGATCACCATTTGTAACCTCCCCAGCCAACCTCTGACAAGAAAGGTCAATGGGGGAATCAGGATTCACTTAACAACTGCATGATTATACTTAATGAATACAGTGATTCACTTAACAACCATATCAAAAGGGTCGTAAAGTGGGGCAAAACTCACTTAAAAGCTGCCTTGCAACGGAAATTTTTGGCTCAATTGTGTCCAGAGATTGAAGACTACTTGTAGTTTTTTGTGTGAAAAAAGTTTTCAGCTGTTTTTTGTATGTGGTCAGAAGCACCCTGTCCTTTAATCTTAATTCTCTTCCACTACTTGAACCTCTGGATCTGAATGGTACTATAGTGAAAAACCAAAGTAGATGAAACAAATCAGGAAATTATCCATGTTGTACTGAATTAATGAATGAACTTATTTGAAACACAGCCATGTGAGAACCAGAAAACAGATTTGCTGTTTAAAATGTATACAGCAATTGCAATGTTTTAAGGTTGATTGTGCCATCTGGTGGCAAGTAAAGAGTTTTCTAATCCTGAATGGCTTTGAACCAAAACTGTTTCAAAGTCTATTTCCATCTTTATAAGCTCCCTTGGTGATAATCTGTTTTAGAATATGCTTGCATAGCATGCTTAACCATGGCTAATTTATACTAGAAACCATGGTTAAACAAATCTATTGTTTATTACATATTAAGTCAATTTTCTGGGTTCCTATAATTCATCACTCTAGGTTAAAATATGGCTGGCTGATTTATGGTTAAGTATGCCATACTTTTCTTTTCAGGCCTATCACTAAAGCTGACTAAACAGATTGTTTTTCAGTGCTGGTCTACATATGAGAATTTCTTCTCTAAAGCTCCACCTGCCCCTCCTCTTTCAATTTTTAAGTAGACACTCCCAAGGATTTTTTATATTAATTAGTCCATTGAGGTAGAGGTAAGCTACATATCTGTTCCCAAGTATGACTAATATACTATGTTTTTAAAGTAGTTGTTTTTAAAATTATAAACCTGTTCCAGGAATATTAAATTTGCTACACATACCAAAACCAAGACTTCAAGATTTCATTCACTTCCATAAGTTTATGTTCTCAAATACCACTATTGATCTCCGTAGGTAGTTTACACTAATATGGTTACAACAACAACAACAACAATAATAATAATAAAGTTGGAAGGGACCTTGGAGGTCATCCAGTCCAACTCCCTGCTCAGGCAGGAAACCCTATACCATTTCAGACAAATGGCTGTTCAGTCTCTCCTTAAAAACTTCCAGTGTTGGAGCATTCACCGCTTCTGGAGGCAGGTTGTTCCACTGGTTAATTGTTCTAATTGTCAGGAAGTTTCACCTTAGTTCTAGGTTGCTTCTCTCCTTGCTTAGTTTCCATCCGTTGCTTCTTGCCCTGCCTTCAGGAGCTTTGGAGAATAGCTTGATTCTCTCTTCTTTGTGGCAGCCCTTGAGATATTGGAACATTGCTATCATGTCCCTCCTCGTCCTTCTCTTCATTAAACTAGACATATCCAATTCCAGCAACCGTTTCTTATATGTTTTAGCCTCCAATCCTCTAAGTTTTGGTAACTGGTGGCTTTTTTCTCCCTTCAAGTTAGGGTTGATTCCTGACTTGAAGGGAGGAAAAAGCCACCAGTTACCAAGACTAACTGCTTGGACTGGTCCTTGCACTTTTCTTGGTGATATTTTTGCAAGAGACTTGCCATTGCCTTCATGAACTCAAAGAGGGTGACTGGCCTAAAGTCACTTAACTGGTTTACTGCCTAAAGGCAAAATTGAAACTCAAACTTCTGGTTTCTAGACAGATACCTTAAATCATTACACCAAACTAATTCTCTGCTTAGTGTATTGTGAATCTAATTGACAGAACTGCTACTTAAAAATACTGTATGTCATGACATCAGCTCAGACAAAGCAAACGTTCCTTCAGAAAACTAGTAGCATTCAAATTATGCTTAAAGAAGCTCTGAAATATATGTACTTTCTCAGCAAAATCACATTTGACAAAACTATCATTTTATTCCCCAGTATATAGAAGTCTGCTAAACCACAGAAGATTGAAAACATGAAATAATTTCTCAGATGGGAGAAATTTATTAAATGCATCAGATTAAGTTGTTATTTAAGTACTGAATGGAAAACAACCCATGTATTCACAATGCCCCAAATTGAATTGTTTTCAAATTTAGTCAGCATTCACAAAGCAATGTCAATGAATTTTTAAACTACTTTAAAATAACACTCAGTTGAGCTAATTTGAGAGGAGCACTAGATACCAAAATTAATTATGGCAGAATGTATTTATATCATTATTTTTGTAACTGACTGAGGGTGGCGATCAAACACAATACTCTTTCCTCCTATTTTCCTTACAACAACCTTGAGTGAAGAAATGCACATGTAAGTTAATTACTGCTCACACACCTTGCCTCATTCATTTTATGCAAGATCCAAACAGCATGGTCTTTTGGATGTGATCTATGTAGTCCCTAAGAGTCAATGGTAAACTGATGACACATAATCTGTCAAAATATTCTCTCCTGAACATCTATAGTCCTAGTTATTTACAAGAAAGTAAGCAGGAACTCAGATTAGTTGGAAAAAGCTGAGTGATGCCACTAAATTCTAGCCAGCACATAGTGTATTTCTAGCTTGTATTCAAGGCATTAAGTGCCCTTGAAAAAGACCAATGGCATATGAACGTTTACTGTTTACGTTGTTACCTTTAAAAACATTTTTGTTCATGACAAAATGGGAGTCCACACTTCATGATTGCTTAAAATAGAGTAAGAAATATCTCACCATATATTTCCATAATTAGCCAGGTTATTGGAACACCTTAAGCCAGGAGTGTCAAACTGCCGGCCTGCAGGCTGGACGCATCATCCAGTAGCTGCGCCCGCCCCATTGCCGGCAATGGCAAAACCATCCCGATACTTTGCGTGATGTCATGTGACATCACGAGTTTGACATGTCTGCCTTAAGCAGAAAAATTAGACAACCCTTTTTGCTGCAGTAAAACATCATAAAAAAATCAACTCATCATAAAAAAATCAACTCATTCAATACCAATCTACTCTCACTGTGAGTATGGCAGATCTTCTGACAAGAATTAAAGTTTTAGACCTGTTCTCCATACTTCACTGAAGAAAAGTCCTTCAACATTGAGAATTTTGCATTAGTGTTTTCACTATTGAACAGAAAGCAATTTTTAAACTACAGATATGACTAGGCATAACCTTTAAGGAAATAACAAATAGGCACTCCTTAGTAATATAACTCATATGCTGAAAAGAATTTCTTTTTCTCAAAATGAAAGGGAAAATAAACAAAAATTAAATATAAAATTTATTGTTCATTGTCCACCGGTACAAAAATACAGTATAGCATGCTGAAATAAGGCAACCACCATAACATTCAGTGAGATACTTTTTTTTTCTTCCATTGATGAAAACCTGAAAGATGAATGCACAAATACATAAAAGCAAAGTTCATATAAATCAACCAAATGAAGTAACAGGCAATTGTTATCAGGAAAAAGTACACATAATCATGTAATTAGTATTTGTTTCATTCTATTCCTGGAGCAAACAGGAAAACGAGGCTATACATACCATAATCATAATGTATTTGGGAATAACCCCATGGAATACTCTTGTACTAATACTAACTAGTACTTGGGAATACCCAATATGCTTACTTTTGAGTAGACATGCATAGGATTGCATTGTTAGGATAGTCTCTATAGCAGATTTATCCATTTAATCAATTTAACTTCTTGAGACTCATAGATGTGGTTCTAATGTAATTTTACTCAATCTGGCGATTTACATATAAGCATAACTCCCATAATTTCAGCCAACATGAATTGTGGGAATTGTATCCTAAATATGTTTAGCACTACCAGGATGAGAAACACTGAATTAAGTTCATGTTAAAGAAAAAAAAATCCACATATTCTTTTCTCAAAATCTACTAAAATGAACAAGTTTTATTTGTAAGATATTTTAAAAAATCTTTATGATTAATGCCCTCAACATAATATGTGTTCTTATAATTTGGCTTTAAATTCCACTGAAACCTGATTACTCATGCAGTTAAGATTGAAACATTTATTTGTTGAAGTATTTAGCCATTTTTTTCTATTATAAATATCCATTTCAATGTAAACAAGGGAGGACATATTACTTTAATTGAATTCACTGTATGAAAATTAGATAGCATCTGGTTTACCATCTACAGTGTTTTTTTTTTCAGAGCACCAACATTTTTATATGAAAAAAATTAGGGTCACATTTAAATTTAAATGCTGAGCCTATACAAAATAGATATTTGG